AAAAGCTACGAATAGATACAGAAAAAGTTATGAAGACCAAACATTTACATAAACTGCGTAATTACACACCTGCACACTAACTTTGAATTATTAATATTATTTTGTATCATTACTACCCACATGTCCTGTGCTTCACTAAAAGACATTCAGACGTGAGTGAATGCAAACTGCCAGTTGTTTCATCTTGGATTGCCTTCACACATCTGCTAACACTGCACAGATATATTTTGGAATCCCATTAGCGCTGCTTAGCATGTTGATCTATATTCAGATATGGCACGTCCACATGACTGGGGTATTAATCTTCATCACAGCCTGGGCTTGTCGCTGGATTTGTTACACGCAGGAGGTGAACCCTGAAACAAGTTAATTACAACTCTAAATGTGTACAGCCCGACTCTAATTGCACTCTGCGCTGTGACAAATCTGACTTTATTCCACTAACAAAGTCATTACCGCGTTGGAAACCGCGTCGCATGGGTTGCGCGATCTTCCCTATTTCAACACCAAATTGCTTGTACAGCGACTGCGAACACTTGCTTGTGGTAAACCTTTTCAATCACGCCACATACTTAACATTACATTATGCATTCACTCCACACTTACCGTTACAGTATAAACAACTAATACAATCAGGCAATGGCCAATATTGTAAGTCATCTTTTATTTATATGGCGCTTTTGTACAGACCAAGGTCACCCAAACTGCTGTACGATGTTCAGAGTTCAGATATTGTTTCATTTTCTCTACACACGGTGATGATGGAAGTGAGACGGCGAACACATAAGGAGAATCCAGCCTCCAATCAAGCCGTTCATTCACTCTCTCACTACATTCAGACTTTTTGTGCATGTTATTAGTGGTATGGGAGACTGGAGCACCTGGAGGAAACCTACGCAGACACAGGGAGAACATGCAAACTCCACACAGAAAAGCCCTGTTCCAACCGAGGCTCGAACCCAGAAGCAAGAGTGCTATTGCGACACACCCAACATTGGATGAAAAGTCTTGGCGCAAAAATGACGGCTGTAACTGATGATTTTCTTGATAATGAAATTGTTTCGGGGGTTTTATTCGGTTTGTTGTTTTGACCACAAAAGGTCAAGGAATATGGGATTGTTGACACAGTTGACCTAAAGATTAAGGTTATGATTAGAATATCCTGTATCCGTCCCATAGTGGGAAAAACTCAGAACAGTAGGAATAAGCAGCTCACAAAACACAAAGTAACGTAAGCGAATATAAAGTATAGCACAACTCTATACTTGAAAAATAAAATCTTCATATATATATAAAAACAAGTATAGACATGTGAAGTATAAACCTACATATCCTCGTGCAAAGAAATAATAAGTACATTTGGTTTTAAGCATAAAGAGTGTGTCTATGATGGAACTGGTGTGAGGAGATTTAAATAATGGATAATTTCTCTGGAGCTTCAAACATGTACAAAATCTCAAGTGATGCTTTTCATTTTATTCTTCAGTTACTGAGAATTCTTGAGTCATAAAACCTCTTCACAGCATGTTTGAGTCAATTTCCCGGTTAAGAAAAAAAATTGGTACATTCACAGCTTTTGGGAAAATATAACAGTATCGAACGTAGGTAGCCATAAATCAACTCTCAACGTTTTCCAACTGAACATTGTCAATGACTTTCCTTTGTTTTTTTCTGTCTTTTGTTTTTCGTTGTATATTGTGCACAGTAGATACATTTGCGCATATGTTCCAAAGTGGTTTAAACTGCACATGGCAAAAAATCGGAACCCTAATCCGAACAGGGGTACTGTACTTTCACCTTTTCCTCAAGAGAACCTAAAATATCAATAGATGCAGAAAACCCAACAAATTTACCAATCGGGTGTTTTCTTTGATGCTGGAAAAACAAAAACGCTTTATAACCTACTACACAAAGGCAACAAGGTCCCATTGGGAATAGGCAAAGAACTGGTTTGCAAATAGGATTTTGTATTCACACAGCGCTCATCAAAGCCAGCTGACTGTCCATCACACTGTATACGGAATGAGGATTTGTGTTGGCTGACAGTGGAATCAAACAGGATCAAAATGCACGGCTGTCTCCAGCAATAAGATCAAGGAAAGGTGGTTCGGGGTCTGCCTTTTGTGCAGGAAAATCTGTCTTTTTTAATCCGTGGCTTGTGGTGAGTTAATGCATCCCGGGAATTGCACCTGGAGTGGATTTAAATTGTGCTGCTAACAACGGCCCGGTCACCAGGATAAGTGAGCAAGGCGATTTATAAGGCGTGATCTATTTCCCCAGGCTGCTCATTTGTACGTTTCATGTTCTATTGTGTTCACCTTAACCACCGATTCGTAGAGCGGAAGTGCCACGTTCAGTCTATGTAAGGGTAGAGAGAACACAAAACCAAACCATGAGGCGTTGTCTTTGAAAGTTTACATACCCAGGCGGAAATAGAGATGTTCTTAGCAATATTTCAACAATTATGAATGAATATTTTTTCATTAATTGCTCGTCATAACAAAATGACAACAGAAGCTACTAATATTTAGTATAGCTCGTTTAGGCCTGGCACCAAGCTTAATGCGCCTGGACATAGCATGCGTGTCCTTGCCGATAGCGCTAATGAGCCTGCACGTGTCGGGAACGTGCATGTAATAAATCTTTTTTTTTTTTTTTCACAAACATGTTAATGCAAACATGTGGATTTTGTATAAGATTTTTCTATAGGGATCAATGTGAAATAAAAAGTGGGGGGACCTGTGTGCTCTACTCTCTGCACTTTAAGCTGTGGTTCATAGAAAAGAGCAGCACAAGAAATCTTCAAATTCTCTACAAATGTCAAGTATTTACTGTTTGTTCAATGTCAACACACTTATTTTTGGAACAGTGTAGTCTAAATAGTGTCATTTGCAATGCTTTGTTTTTTAATACAAAAAGTGAGGCATAAAAGTTGCGTTGTTTAAGATGCTGCAATGAATAAATGTTTCTGTTCCCGTCCAGACTGACACATTATTGACGGTTTGAAACACGATAGAATTGCAAGGAAAAACCTCCCTACAATTCTCTAATAGCAATTTTCTTTCATTTGTACAAAAGGCACTACATCGTCAGACCTTGTTGTGTTACTTTAAAAGATATTTCTTTATTCGTGCCACAGTGGGGAAATTTCAATGTTATCGTTGCGCACATTACAGCAGAAAAAAAGAAGGAAATAAGAGCACTCAGATTGCACACATCAAACAGGGTCTATGATTTAATATTATAGATAAACTTAAATAAAAAATACAAAAATACAAAATAAAACTCTGGATCTATTTTTGCACTGGATTCCGAGTTATTTACAGATGTGTATTTTGTACTTTAGCATTTAGAATATGGCTGTATTTAATTGTATTGTTTTGTTAATTCAAATGTATGCAAAGACACACCACTTGCTGGGAGCTTTTTGACATCTCAACTGTCTGGCATAGTAGAAAAAAATATATAGATATGTATTTTAAACTTTATTGATATGCATGAAACTTTGTGGGACATTAGGGCATGTGCCAAGGACAGACATTAGCATTTGAGAGCAGTTCCATAAATAAAAGGAAGAGAGTGGGATTTTATCAGTTTTCTGCATAAAATAGGGCATTTGAGTTCCTCTCTCCCGGTGACCTTCTCGTTTAAATTGTCTATTTATTGTGTAGAATAGCAGAATTTGGAAACAACTTCAGTCTTGATGACAAACAAGTGGACGGCAATCTGTGATGGCGACCTGCGCTGTGGTAGCTACAACAGAATGAGGACAGTGTTTGGAACAAGAGCCTGTTTGATTGGGAAAAGGTTCTGTGAGAAAAAACCCTTAAGTGAATTTGACATCCTCCATTTACAGAGCAAGTTCACCTCAGGCTAAAGGCAGCTTCAAAGTGCAGCCTTAGAATCCACTCACCTTACTGTACGGCTTCTGTCAGAATAATTACCATCTATTATTCCATATTCTCCCTCATCCTCCAACACAACACCCATGTAATATCCGCCTTGAGTTCAAATGCACCAATTCTCTTTTCATAAATTAGTCCCCCCTCGAGGCAAAACCATTATATACAAAGTTGCGAAAGGCATTCATAGAAAAAGTCAAGACAAAAGATTGAAATGTGTGCATTATTGCCTGAAATTTCCCTCTCCTTCTTTGCCTCATTAAAACTCATAGGAACTGCTGAGCCTGTAAAGGTCATTCATCTGTAAATAAGTAAATACTAAAATCCTTTGCAATGTGCAATGCTGCAACTTCAGAATGTCCGCTGAACAATGTCACTTTACTTTATCTTATTATTCTGCCCTATATGTACAGTATTTAACTCCAAAGTAGTTTTTTTCTTTGGCCAATATGTACACCAGATCTCAGGTCACACGGTTACAGAGATCACATATACTTTTTACAACAAGAAAAAAAAGAACCAAAATGTGTCCATAAAGGACCTTGTGCTAAACAATGCCTGACCGAGATGGGTTTAGGCTGAAGTCGAAACTTACACTGCCTAACCCCTATTACAATGTGACAATGCGTCCAAAGATGACAATTTATACAATTTATCATATACCAAGGATGGTAACATGAAACACAAAACTTAGACTTCCATAATTAAAATTATGTCTGTGTACTGGGTGGCACCTCTGGCCAACCCCACGACCCAGAAATGGATTAAGGGGAAGAAAAATTATAGATGGCACAATATGCAGTTTCTCATATACCAACAATAGTAACATGTTACACAAAACTTAAACTTCCACACTACATTTATATATATTTTGTTTTGACTGGTATTGAAGCATTTACAGCATTTACAGCTAGTTAAGAAACATAGCTACTACTTATTTTGTATATTCTGTGTGCTGCCTGTGTGCTCTTACTACTGTCCTGTGTGTGCGCTGCAACATTGAAATTTCCCCACTGTGGGACGAATAAAAAACCTCTTATCCTATCTTATCTCATTATGACTTGCTTTTGGTCCCTGTGCTCAGTGTTTGCGCTTTACCTATGGCCATGAAGTCTTCGAAGTCCCAGGCCTGCAGCTGCGCCAGGGGTCCGCTGTACAGCAGTAATCCATCAGCCACGTCGGTGATGAACTCCAGCGACACGTGGCTCTCAAAGCAGGGCATCATGGGAGGAAACCAGGCGTAGCCGTTGCCATGGAAACTGTGCTTGTTCTGCTGGCACTCGGGCCCTTCGAACTGCGCTGGACACTGGCACCTGGGGCGGGGGGGGGGGGGGGGGAGGGGGGGGAACGGAGGAAAAGTTTAATCGTATGTGTGTGTTGGTAAATGCCGGACTTTTGGAGATGTTTGACCCATATTTGACAGATGGGTAGAAACGGGAAAAAACACTTCATCGCTCTAATCTTTTTTTTATGTTTCCCTACAGTTGATTCTTTCAAGCGCAGTTTCTCCCACATCCAGAAGCGCGGTGTGCAGTAGTATTTCTATGGCAGCCTTCCCCTTGGCCATCTCTGTGTCTGTGTGATGCAGATGTGCTCATTAGTGCAAAAAAACCACAGGGAGAATCTCAACATCAGTCGCCGCCGCCTCTCTTTCCCCCCTGTTTGCGCATCCCAGCACTCAGATGTTCCATTGCTTCTAGTCAAATTTTAACTTTTCAGCTCCCTTCATTAATATATGTTATCGGATTTCGGCAGAAGAGAGAATCTGTTTCACATTTCCTTAATTTAAAAGATGCATTTATCCTATTTTTTTCAAACTGATGAAGAGGATGAGAGCACTTTCTGATATTGACCATGAAAAATGACTAGCAGTTGCAGTAGTAGTGGTAGTAGTAGGATTTATAGTGTTTGAGCTTTGAAACCATAATAAAACATTGCTTCCCATTGAATACAGACCTGGAGTTGTTTTTAGATCCATCCATGTCTATTCTATCTATAAGCTTCTGTGTTGAAACAAACATGGCAAGGCAGAGTTTCAGATTCATGCAGCCAAAGTCTTTCTGAAAATGCAAAACAGGCTTCTACTCTGAAAATGTTTAAATCCAGGTTTAAAAACAGTTATGTGTAGGTGTACATGAACTTGAAGGATTGTCTCTTCACTTTTTTAATGTACTGTGATTATTTATGATTATTTCTTTGAGCACTTTGAGTAGCCTTATGTGTGAACTGTGCTATACAATAATATATGTGCAGTACAGTTGTCATGATTCACCCAGACTTGACACCTAAATGTGTATTTGTTATCGTGAGATCAATAATGAATGAAAACAAAACAAATAAAAAAAATATTCTAAAAAGTTTGAAAAAAACAATTCTATTAAGTAATGAGGCAATCCTTTATAATCCTAATTCTAATCCTAAAGGTAAAGGTGCACTTTGTTAATCCTACACACTTGACACGAAACCCATGCATCGCTTGCTTTTTATGATTTTATACTTAATTCTTGTTTTGCCAAATGTTAAACTTTTACATCTTGTTAATTATTATTTTCAAGATAGAGATTTTATACTTTTATTGATGCTAGAGTTAGAAATTTTGTTTTATTTTTATTAGTACAGCTATTGTTCACTTGACTTGTGCCGAGTGCTCCTCTTTCCTACTGCAGTATAACCTGTGTGATGCAACAGTGAAATTTCCCCTATGTGGGACGAATAAAGGATCTCCTAATCTTAATCTTAATCTTCCTCGTTATGCGAAAGCTTGAGATTTTATACTTCCTTCTTTGTTTTGCTAAAGTGATTTAATTTAATTTTAGTAAAGAGTTCATGTTTATTTAACTTGTGTTGTGTGCTGCTCATTCCTACAGCTCTGTAACCTGCAACAGTGAAATTTCCCCACTGTAGGACAAATAAAGGATCTTTTAATCTTAATATTTTCTCCTTTCATCATGGACCTGCCACAAAAGTGTTCTAAATACATTTCCATTCCGGTGCAAACTTCTTCCATAACTCTCAAACTTCTCCTGTATCAGCTGTCACTCTCTGTTAGCGCCATATGAAGGTGTGCAAATAAAAAAAAAATCAAACCAATTCACCCTCAATATGCTGTGTGGTACCAATTATGAAAAATACAAATTGCATTCACAGACCGCTCACAGCTTGGAGGTATTTCTCTGGGGCTCTGCACATCTAATAAGTGTATTTCTCATTGGTGGATGTTATTCACACTCCAGCTGCCTCCTTCCATATTTAGCTTGTGGTGATAATGCATGGCCACACACGGAGAGTACATACAAAACCCATTTCTCAGCCAAATGCTATTCTTTTGTTTGTGCCCCTGCCAACGCAACAACAAATGAGGATGAAAACAGAAATGAGAGTACAAAAGCCAACACAGCCCAGCCTTATCAAGGGCCATGAATGTAATAATCCTGCAAATAATAGAGGGAGAAAGTCAAGCAAATCCCAAACACTCGATTAACCATTTCTGTCTTGCTAAAGAAAATGAGATAGAAATGGTAGAGGCACATTTCCAACTGTGCAACTGTTAGGAACACCTGTCTATAAGCCGCACCAGCAACATTTGAAAATAAAGTAAATGTTGTCCACATATAGGCCATGGTTGAATTTACTGTAAGAGATTTTCATGTTGTAAAGTAGCAGAGAGACAAATGGTCACTGGTCACAACATGATTCAATGAGGAGGGGTTTAACAGCTTAAAGGAGCTATACCCGTTTATACAAGGTTTGAATGTTTAGCTCATTTCCCAGACGCTCTCATTCCACGGAACCCTCTAGGTTTATTTGCGATCTATACGCAAACATTAGCATGAGCGCAACTTCTTGTAAGGTGTACAACAATCACTGATGAAATGGTACAAAAGCAACGCTCTGCTAACAAAATATATAACTAAAAGATTGCCGCTAGTTTGGCGTCCAAATCTAGTCCGAGCATAGGTTATCCGAGCATAGAAAGTCCGAGCATAGAAAGTCCGAGCATAGATAGTCCGAGCATAGATAGTCCGAGCGTAGACAGTCCGAGGTGGTCCTGCAGGTCTCTCCCATGGACAAGTCTCTCCAGAGGATACGATGTAAGCTAGCTATGTTCACCCGGGCTTAATTTCTTTTTTGATAATTTTTTTGCTTTAGTTCCCTTTTCTCTTCCTCACTGTTGCGTTGTTTGGGCTGTTTGGCTGTGTCTGCAGTTACAGTACAGCCAGAAGAGTTATAGCCAATTCTGCTAACATGCTACTGTGTTTAGCAGCGCTGTAGAGGCTAGAGGACGCAGCTTGTTCGTAACAGCGCCGCCCCTTGTTCTGTGATTGGAGGAGAGCGGGCGTTTCGCTAAATCTATACTCAGCACTTTTTACGGCCTGAACTCATACACAAGCTGAATCAATGAGCTCAAGTTTTCAATTAAATTACGGATTATAAGACAACTTGTATGTAGTAATAAGCATTTTTATGAACTCAATAAAAAAAAAAAAAAAATTGGATATAGCTTCTTTAACGGATAGCTTTCATGTTGGTACTCGTTCACCATGTCTATTTTGAGAATAAAAATAACAAAAAAAAGTGTCTAATGAATAAATAGTGCGTCTTATGGCTACTAAAACTTTATGGTGTCAAAATATGAAGTCCATAAACTCTGCTCTGACTATGCACTGCAATAAAAATGATCGCAATTGATGAAAATAAAACATTGAATTTAAGAAAGTATCAAAGTAAGTATAAAAACACTTCAACAAAGAATGACAAACAAAACTCAGAATTTATCTTATAGTGTTGCTCACCACTTATATCACTGTAAACCCTAACTTCAATCGTACTTCAGATATCAAAGTTATTTTAAATAGATTTTTCCCAGTAAGTAGATATTACTCATTTATTGTTGGTTTATTTAAAGCTTGGCTATATCACTCAGGGTTTTCTTTGAATTGAACTGTTTCTGTTCAAGTAAGCCTCACTTTTGACATTTTGACGTGTAGACTCTTTAATGAGGCAGGTGTGTTAATGCCAGGGTGGCCTGGTGGCTGAGTGGGTAGCACCATTACCTCTCAACTACAGGGTTCTGAGTACGAATCCCGGTCGGAACATAAGTAGAAATTTAAACTTTATTGCAATCACTTGAGTTTAACTTTATTGCAATCACTTGATGTACTCGAGGAATTTATTTCCATGGTTTTTTCAAGTAAACTTTACTTGTTAGGGTTTACAATGGTATGTGAATCTGCCATTTAAAACTTCCATTGAGAGACAGAATAGTATTGTCTGGATCACTTTCTAACAAACAAATACAAAGGAAAAACAATTGTGTATGCTTGGAGGTTTCGGGAGCCTGGGATCGCTCAGTCAAGGCTCACTGGGAGCATGCACCATTGGGTCCACTGAGAAGGATCAGTTGCCATCTTGAAACCCTGGCTTTTTGCACACGGCACATTATGAATGGATCAATAATTTCTCTAGCCCTATACATCTTCACTTTTTCCCCCTTTCCTTCCCTCTCACCTTTTCTTGTCTTGCGTAATCTTTGCGTCATTAGTGGCCATTTGCTATACCACCATATACACCAGCTTTACATACTTCATACATCGACTACAAATTAATCTGGGCGTATCACTACCTGGGGACGCCTGTGAAGCCAAGCAGATAGGAAAAATGTAAAGTGCACTGCATCTAGAATTAATAAAAAATGTCTCTAGAGTGTATGTATAACATCTACGGTATTTCCATTTTGTCAACTTGAGCTTAATTCTCATGACAATCTGAGTTTAGCTCCGATGTTTGTGCCCTGTGCAATCCTCTTAAGGCGGCTTTGTTTTGCTCATTTCACCGTCTGTGGGGAATTGTATTTGTTAACATGGGCCCAGGGAAATGTAATCCCACTGTTACTGTCACAAATTCCATTATTAATAATCCTGGAGTTGTGATTATTGGCATGTTCTTCAGTCTTTAGTCTGTGTGTATTGTGCCCGACCCAGAATTCAGCATGTTGTTTATGTGATAGGATAGGAAAGTCACAAGGTCAGAAACAAAAGGCAAAAAGGTGTCATTTAATTGAATAAAACCATATCTAGGATGAGAAATATAAATTAAAATAATCCAAACGAAAAATTGGAACAAGACATTAGGGAAAGACAATGGATTTAACAGCAAGAGACGAGGGGCACAGGGTATAAACACACACAAGTAGACAGAGGTGAAATACATTAGGGAGGGGCAGGCCATCGCAGAAACAGGAAATTAAACTCAAAGGACACAAGACAATCAATACTACAAAAATAAAACAAAGTATAAGATCATATAATATTTT